AGGAAACAAGGAAGGAAATAAAGAAAGAAATAATAAAGAAAGGAATAAAGAAAAAAGAAAGGAATAATAATTGAAAGAATAAAGAAAAATAGACAGAATACTGAAAAGAAAGAAAGAAAAAAGAAAGAAAGAATAAATGAAAGAAAGGAAATAATAAAAGATAGATAAAAGAATAAAGGAAAGAATAAAGAAGGAAGGAAGGAAAGAATAATGCGAAGAAATTAAGAAAAATTAATGGAAAGAAAAAATTAACGGGAAGAAATAAGGAAAGAAAAAAAGAAAGAAAAAAGCAAAAGGGCGAAGTAACGAAAGAAACATGTTAGAAAGAAAAAGAAAGAAAGAAGTAATGAATAAGTAATGATGCTAAAGGATTTGAGGAATGAAAGCACGAAAGAGCGAAGAAAAAGAACCTAAGAAAGGAAAAAGAAAGAACAAATCAAAGGAAGAAAGAAAGAAAGAAAGAAAGAAAGAAAGAAAGAAGTGATTAACGAACAAATTTAAAAGAAAGCAAAAAAGAAGGAACTAAGAAATGAAAACACGAAAGGACAAAGAAAAAGGAATAAGAGAAAAACGAAGGAAATGAAAGGATGTAAGAACCAAGTCAGAAGAAAAGAATAAAAAAAAAAGAACAAACGAACGAACGAGCGAATGAAAGGAACGAAAGAAAGAAGAAAAATAAGGAATGCGGAAAAATGAAAAAATGTGTGATAGACGCACAGAATTTTCTTTTGTATAGTGACTTCGATTGTCACTGGATGGATCATTAGTGCGGTCTTTGCCAAACAAAGCTAATCTCAGTAATACATAAAAAAAATGTAAGAAAAAACGATCAGGAAAACTAAAGACGGAAACTTTTCTCTTAAAAAGTGAATGAAGAAAAAAATGCTACAAGGGAAGGAGATGCCCACTAAACATAGTTTGGCACAAGATCACAAGTATAGGAGATTCAGTAAGGATCGAACTTATTACTAATGATCAACTAGACTAGCGCGCTAACCACACAAATAGGCGCACACGAAAAACATATCGTAAATCGACGTTTACAATTTTTGGTGGAATATTTTAGCTGAGGAATTAGCATTATCAGGAGCTGCGCTGTTCAGAGCGCCCTGTTCATCTTGGTTATTACGTTTTCAACGTTTCGGCTGTTGTGCCGTCCGAACTTCTTCAGGTGTCTTTCTTCGTAGAGCGAATTTCGAACCGAACTCCTTTATTAATTCAGCACGCATGGATGACTACAATTCTGCTTTGTCTGTTTGGAGGATTTTTCATCATGCGATCCATCGTTAAAAATACAGGAAAAATGGTCGGTTCCCTGTCTTCTTTGTGCGCCGTGTAAGATGATCATGGCCCTCCACAATTTCCCGTCTTTTTAGCTCTTAATAATTTTTAGGGGGCGGGGGCTGTCTCTCCGAAACTCTGCTCCGCCATCCATTTACTCAAGCTTGCCAATTCGGTTATGTGTTTCTTTTCTTCTATCCCTCTTAGCCTTCAATATATCCTGTGAGTATCAAATTTTCTAAACCCTCTTTCCTTATTATATACCCTAGAATCTTCAATTCTCTCTTCCTGATGTTAAGTATAAGTGTCCTTTTTTGTTTCCATTCTACCTAGAACTTCATCGTCCATGGTATTCTCAGCATCCTTCTTTAGGTTGCTTTAAGTCTCTTGTTCATTTGTGGGGAGATTGCCCAGCATTGACTGCCATATAGAACGACTACTGACATTACATAACAGTACAGTATTCTTTTGTTTGTTCATAACAATTGGCATACTGGTTGGAATAGCCAAATATAGAATAATGTTGTGTATAAACCGAAACGTTAATGCTAGAAATTAGAGGTCGTTCCTATACCTCCCCAAATATCCGACTGTTGCGTGCATTGGTCCTCTCAATCTTTTTGTAACGCCTGCGAATCGTGAACATTAACAGAAGAATTATAACAAAAACACCAAGCATTAGAACTTAATGGTCAGTGATACATTATGGGTAGGCTTATTGTATTATTCAAACGGTTCTTTTGGTGGACGATAACGGTTATGTTTTGAATTATTTTAGATGCTATTGGGTGGAAATGATTGTGGATCCGGATGCAGATTTTTTACTTTTTATAGTATTGTTTGTTAACTTTTTTTTATTATTTATTATTTTATTGTTGGTTGTTATTATTACGTTTACTTGTGTTTATGTGTGTTTTCGTAGTTTGTTAATTTATTATTTACTTCATTTATTTACTTATTTGTTGGTTTGGATTAATTTATTTTACTTATTTTTATTTGTTTATTTTATTTTATTTTTGCTTATTCTTGTTCGTTTTTAGTTTTCGGGTTTTAAGTAAGGTAGCAAAAATTTGTTTTCTTGTCTGCATTATGTGATGGGCTCTGATCGTTTATTTAGTAGTTTGTGCTTGTGTTGCAAATTCTATAGAAACATCATCTATATAGAACGTACAACAAAAGAGGAAGAGCAAGATACCATCGAACAAAAAATAGGACATCTGGAATACCTCATAATTACCGTCAAAAAGGTATGGCTAAATCACAAGAGCTAGCAATCTTTGCATCGCCATCCTACAAGGTTCTACCTCAAGCAAAAGAAGACGAAGACAGAAGTAAAAATGCGCTGATAACGTCACTGGGTGTACTGGGAGAATATCCACAGAGTCTCAGACAATGGAACGCACTCGAAATATATGGAGGGAGCTGGTCAGCTGCGTAGAGACGTTATGACCACACCCTGTCATGGGATCGATGATTATTATACTCGTGATGTTCAAAATCAGTGTAGGATGAGAAAGACAAGGCCACGAGTAGCAAAGTTTTTCATGGACGGCCGTATCATTGTCAGTGCTGTGTCAAGTGGGCCATGTCACGAGAATTTCACAATGCCAATATCAATAACAATCATAATACACACTCATTATTTCTTTATACACATTTTGCGAACAGACTGCACAAACGTATAAGAAATTGACTTAATATTTAATACATTTGGTAATATTAACGATATTCGTACATTTGAAAAAGTATATTTTACAGAATTACACCTACACCTTAGTGGCATTGTTTCCTTGCTTGGGGTGAAATGATAAAACAAATTGCTCTGACGCTCATCTCGAGCTAAATTTAGAATACCGTACCTATGAACACTAATGAGTATGGCCCAATCCTTATAAGTATGTTAGACACTATTGTAAGTAGGAGTAATATGCTAAGTTGTCCACCATTAGCAGTGGTTTAACTACTTCACGCCGCTGGCGAGTATTGTATTTTGTTGATGTTATAATGATTACCATTTCATTTCTAACCTCCGTTTTGGTTATTCCTCATTCAGTAACCTTTTCTAGGTTACAACGCAGTGATAAGGAATTCACGATAAAACTTATCAAACTGGGTGTCATGATGCGTATATTGGATTTCCTATATTTGTAAGAGACACGGTGGAGTAATGGATAGCGGCTCGGACTGAGGAATCAGAGCGCCGAGTTTGTGTTCCAGTCGAGTTCATTGTATTCATTTACGTGATACAAAGAGTGTGATTCTATCTCTTCTCCCTCGGCTATGAGTAAATTGCAGGTTAGAAAATAAGAAAAAAAAACTCGAAAATGGAGAGGTTTTAAAAAAGTTTAAAAAAGAGGTAACAGAAGAGAAGAAAAACTGGATCAGGAGGTCACAACGGGGAGAGGATTATTATTTCAACTGAGAGCTAAATAGATCAATTAGAAAAGATCCAACTTAACTCATAAGACGTTTGACACGCGAGAAAGAAGTTTTATCTATGACAGTCCAAAGAGCAGTGAAAAAATATTTGAAAATTAAATCGTACGTGAAACCTGTGAGGCACCTTGTTACTCCAAGACAGAAAGAAGATTAGATAGGGCGAAGATCATTTTGAATAAGTTGGACTATCATCTTGAAAAATAATATATATATATATATATATATATATATATATAGTGTGTGTGTGGATGGTCCTGCACGAAGCCTTCACCACTATAATCAAATCTCATGTGTCGTTGTCGGGCTGTCGGTTTCCTGGAAACTGATCTGCTTGACCCTCATACGTCGAATTCGACGGAAGAGTCGACTATATATATATATATATATATATTGAACTTTATTTCAATTCTTCATGAGCTTCCGGTCCTAAGTTAGCTATGATTAATTAATGATGAACATGTCATTTTCATTTATGATCTATTTTATCACAATTCTTCTGTTAAGCTTGTAAACACAATTTATGAAGACTGAATATAATACCCAGCGGGTAAAGACGTTGGTTAGATCCAGTGACTAGACACAAAGAATTGTGAGTTCAATACCAGGCCACAGGCAAAAAGGTGGAGAATTGATTTAAAGAGAAATAACCGAGACACCAAGGAGAGGCATGGCATGTGGAACTAGAACAATCTACTCCGGTGGACGAAATAACGGGTTCGGTTCGAAATTCCAATCACCTGAAGAAGACCGGAGCGTACAATGGCCGAAACGTTGAAGATGAGGATAAACGTCCGAATAATATAAATAATGCAAATAATGATTGATATTGCATTGATATTTTTGAAGATCAAACTTAACTTAAAAAAAAGAAGTTGCAAGAAATTCTGTTCGTTTATTGTTCTTGCTCTTTAATTAAGTTTTTTTTTTTTATTGTTTATATATATATGTACTCAATAATCGCCTACACCTTAGTAGCATTGTTTCCTTGCTTGGTGTGAAATGATAAAACAATTGCTCTGACGGTCATCTCGAGCTAAATTTAGAAGTATCGTCTCTTGCGCAACTACAACATGCCTCACGATTATGATTTTGTCCCAGATGAAACTGCTTTATAAATAACTTGAATTTTTCCTTTAGAAACAAAAGAAAAACGTGTGTCTAACTTGACCACAATACAAAAATATTTGAACGTAAAAACGTGTTCATTGATAAAGACAAAAAAGTTTTAAGTGGTTAACAAAATTAAATATGATTTAATGACATTCGTCTTTAGACAGAACATGACAAATATTTCCCCTGGAAAAGGGTGTGTTGACTTCCGGTTGATAATCAGTGGCAGAAACGGATTCTTAGGTCAGAAGAAATAGGTCACGAAATGAAAAAGTATACTAAATCTTGAGTCAATGATTATTTTGGAGACTAACAAGTTTTTTCCGTTAATAATTAGAAATGAACGCGTATTATATGTTCCTATATATGCGCGCCTTTTTATCCGGGATATATGAGCAAATGTCGTCTGGAATTCTGACATTGTCTTCTTACAGGATTTATTCAACCTCTACAACGAGGTGATCCTTCGTAAACGAGAAGTTCTACCAGCTTTTAGTAATGGCGGACACAATGTTAATAACATAAGATATGTAGATGATATTGTTACTAAACTGCAGGAGATAAATATTTAAAGGAAGCATCATATGTAAGAAATCAATTACACTATTTACATTGTTCAGAATATTGTCCTCAATTTTATTACCATATTCACGACGTTTCGGCCGTTGTACGCTCCGGCCTTCTTCAGGTGATATACGTTGGAATTTCGATCCTAACCACGGGGCAGATTTTTCCCGTTCCATGTGCCATGCCTCTTCTGAATATCTCAGTTTCAGTTGATTCCATTTCGTAACTGAACTCTCCAAAATTTTTGTTCACCTCTGCTGTGGCCAGGTATTGAACTCGCAACTCTTTCAGTAAAATCAATGGATTAATTCAACCAAGGCCATGTGTCCGTACAACGGCCGAAAAGTCGTGACGAGGGCAATAATCCGAACAATGTATATAGTGTAAATAGTTACAATACATCATCTCAGATATATAGACAATATGTTCAATGAATATTTTTCAGCCAAAGAAACAAAATGCGAGATACGATTTGGTGATATTGTAATCAGACAACTAGATGGATTTAAGCGCAGTACTAGATTGGCGGCTAGGTCTCATCATTTTACATTTGAAATGGCTAGATGTAACCGTAAGTTCTATGTCAACAGTTTCTTCCCTCGCATTTCTCACTTGTGGAACTCTCTTCTCGTTTGATTTTCAAAAATTTAAATGCAATGTCAGTCGTTATCTTCTGACTTCTTAATTCCTGTTCTACTTAATTCTTGTTCTCTCTCCTTAATAATGTTTTCTTTTTCTCATCTCCTCTCACACTCAGTAACCCATTGCAGCTTTATTGTCTTGCTTGAGGTGAAAAAAGTAATTCAAATATCTGTGAAATATCTTAACAGAAAACGGAAAGTGTGGCACCACAATCCGAAAGCGCAGTGGACTAGCAAAAGATGCCTCCCAAAAACTCAGCAAAGTATTAAGAAATAGGAAGATTTCATTAGAAACAAAGAAACGAATGCTGAGTTATTACGTGATATATGTGCGCCTATATTGTAATGAATGCTAGACAATCTCCTCATAGATGAAGAAGAGACTTGAAGGAAGAGAAATGTAGTTTTGGAGAAGGATGCTGAGAATGCGATCGACCGAATATATGGCAGGACAATTTGCATACTGGATAATTTCCTCACAGATGAAGAAGATATTTGAGGCTACAGAGATGTGGTTCTATAGAAGGATGCTGAGAATACAAAGAGAAAAGGGCTTAACTGCTATGTAATATCAATCCTCCTATATGGCAGTGAATGCTGGACAATCTCCTCACAGATGAAGAAGAGACTTGAAGCTACAGAGATGTGGTTCTATAGAAGGATGCTGAGAATACAAAGAAAAGAGTGTTTAACTGCTATGTAATATCAATCCTCCTATATTGCAGTGAATGCTGGACAATCTCCTCACAGATGAATGGTCGACAGAAGGATACTGAGAATACCATAGACTGACTTTGTAAGCAATGAGGATGTTTTAATGATAATGGAAACCGAGTACATAGAATCAAAAAGAGATATTTGAAATTTCTAGGACACATAATAAGGAAAGAAGAGTTAGAAAAATTGACTCACACAAGAAACTGTGAAGGCGATAGGGGCAGTCGAAACCTGCGAGTAACTTACCTAATGAATGGGGGAGATAGTAAAAAGATAAGCGGTAGTAAGAGCTACAAATGATAGGAAGTTGTAGAGAGCCATGACCACCTACGTCTTGCAGGAACGTAGCAACTAGAAGAGAAAGAAGATGTTATTGTCTTCATTCTTGGGACAATTGAAGCTAGTGTCCTTTGGATAGGCATAAATCCGTTTATTCCTCTCACCTTCTTCTTCTCTGTCTCTTCTTCTTCTTCTTCTTCGCTTCCTCCTTCTTTTCCACTTCTTCTTCATCGTCTTCTTCTTCTCAGCCTCCTCCTCATTTTCTTCTTCTTCTCTGCCTCCTCCTCTTCTTCTTATTCTCCGCCTCCTCCTACTCTTCTTCTCTGCCTCCTACTCTTCTTAAATAGCATGGTAAACTGTGCTCTTTATTAAGAAAAGGAAAAGTCTAAATATATTTCCCAAGAATATATGACAATTCATAGATTTTTTTTAAATTGTGGAGAGTCATGATCACCTCCGTGCTGAAGGGGCAGAACATAGTGTTTGGGGGGGGGAACTCGCTGATCACATTCCTCAATGCCTCAAAAATCAAACTAGTTACGTTCCATCATGAACTAATGTCCTCTTAGTAAGGCCATATGCCTTGAAAAACTATTGGACTTTAAACTTACCCCTGACCTCAAATGGAACTGTTATATACAATCCATCGCCAAAGAGGCAGGAAAATGGTCGGCTTCCTGTACCGCTCCAGTAACTACCTGACCCCTCATGTCATCCGCTAACTTTACAAGAGCCAGATCAGGCCGAAATTGGAGTACAGCTGATATTTGGACGGGAGCTGCTCAGTGCTCAATTTCCAGTCTCGATAGAGTTCAAAAGCGTCTCCGAGTCCTTCTGGGTGACAAATTATTTTCTACCCTCTTTCGCATAGGCGGGATGTGGCCAGGCTCCCGCTGCTCTATCGCTACTACCATAGAAAGTCCTCGAACGAACTACATTCCTTGGTTTCACCAGGTCTAACCTTCACGGTTACGACCCGCCATACCACTTATATTGTAGCACCCCCCCACATTCCCTCTGTATTTCATCGATGGTAAGTCGGTTTCACTCGAACTGCTTCTTTCCACGAACCACTGGTCTATGGAACCGACTTCGGATCAGATGTTTCCCTCATCACTACAATTTTAACTTATTAAAACCTAATGTTAACCGTTATCTCCCTCCTCCTATTCCTATAAATTGCCTCTTAACAGAACCCTATACCACAAGTGGCCCCTTAGCTTGTACAGTGTGAAACTTACTGTAATTTTTTTTTTATTATTGATGAAGTGACTCGAATTCTAAAAGATAATAAAGTGTTTTCTCACGGCTTTCTCCATGGTTTTGAAAACGCGTCGGCTAAGTATAGTTTTTCCTCACTATTTACATTATTCGGACTATTGTGTTCATCTTTGTCGACAAAGATGACGACAATAGTGCGAAATTACGCAAAGGAGTGGCACTTGGAAAGAAGCTGTTCAAATGAAACTTCCTCCTTACTAATGGAATGCAAAGGGAACGAGGATGGTCGACCTTTGTGTGCATGGCGAGTCTTAGCTGTAAAGCTCTGAACTGGTGGAACTAAGGAATGTAGCTGATTAGAAAGTCTTCCATGGAAATAGCAATAGAGGCTTGCAACATTGCATCTCTAGAAAACGGGATATAGCGTTGCAAATAATTCATCGCTTAAAATACTGCATAGATGCGCTAAATTTAATAATTTAATTATCCTGATGCTTCAAATAGTTTTATATTTTGGTATGCATAAAATTTTGGATAGAATATGTCTGTAAAAGGAGAATATGAAAAACGATAAGAGGTCAACTTATCTTAGCCGTCGCGTTTCGTCCTTTGAGGGATTTTATTAAGGCCAATGCAAAGATTTTATTTTGTAGCAAGTATTTATAGACAAGAAGAGCATAAGTGTTGTTAGTTTTTCAAATTAAAAGAAACTGGTTAAATCCATAACCTTATGTTATTTAAAAAAAATATAACACATAAATTAATCCCAAACTAAAATAATTTAAATATTAATTTGCATAAAAATTTTCAAGAACATCTTTAAATCACTTTCGTTTAGTAGACATTAAATTATATCACTTAGCGTCCTCCATATCTTACCTAGACTTTTCAGCTAGCCAGATGAATATTTAATATCATTTCGTAATTTAAAATGTTTGAAAAACTAACAGAATTTATGCTCTTGTCTATAAATACTTGTTACAAAATAAAATGGATTTGTCTTCATAAAATCCCTCAGAGGACGAGATGCGTTGGCAAAGATGAGTTTTTTTTTTACTTTTGTCTTTATTTATCGTCTGTTGTGCAAAAATAATAAAATAAGTAAAAATATAGTATTTTCAGTTTTTGTTTTTCCAGTCTGTTCTCATGAATAGCGTTAATTTATGTTTTCAGAAAACAAGTGATTTGAGTTGAACATTTAGCTCAGAAAATTTATCTAATTAGGTAACCAGTTTGTAAGAAATAGTGTCAACTAGTTGAATCCCACATTTGTTCAATCTATTCAGAAGATTAAACTACTTCTCCCCTCCTCTTCCGCCTTCTTCTTCTCTTCCTTCTCCGTCTCCTCATCCTCCTTCTTCTTCTTCTCTCCTCATTCTTCTACCTCTTCTTCTTCTTTACCTCTTTCTTCTCTTCTTCTTCATCATCTTCTCTGCCTCCTCCTTCTTCTTGTTCTCCGCCTCCTCCTTCTCTTCCTCCTTATCTTCTTCTTCTCCTCCTCCTTCTCCACCCCATCCTTCTTCTGTCCTCCTCCTCCTTCTTCATCATATTCTTCTTCTCTGTCTCTTCTTCTTCTTCTTCTCCTTCTTCTCCGCTTCCTCCTTCTTTTCCACTTCTTCTTCTTCTTCTTCTTCTCTGCCTCCTCATTTTCTTCTTCTTCTCTGCCTCCTCCTCTTCTTCTTATTCTCCGCCTCCTCCTACTCTTCTTCTCTGCCTCCTACTCTTCTTCCTCTTCTCCCTCCTCCTTCTTTTCTTCTTCTTCTCTACCTCCTCTTTTTCTTCTTCTTCTTCTCTGCCTCTTCCTTCTCTTCTTCTTTTTCTCCGCCTCCTCTTCTTCTATATGCCATGTTCCTTCATGGCTCTCCATGATTGCATTTTCTTTGTAGCTCATAATAACTTCTGTCTTTTTTGCCATCTCAACCAAACCCTACTCCACGATCCAATCGCTCAAATTCGCCTGTTAGATTGTGCTTTGCTTTCCTCTGGCCCTCTTACCTTCAATCTGTCCTGTGAGTATCAAATTTTCCAAACACTCTTTCCTTATTATGTCCCCCAGAAAATTCAAGTTGATGTTAAGCATAAATGTCTTTTTGTTGCCATTGTCTCTAGAATTTTGTCGTTGCTCACATGTTCGGTCCATGGTATTCTCAGCATCCTTCTGTAGAACGACATGTCTGTTGCTTAAAGTTTCTTATTCATCTATGAATAGATCATCCAGCATTCACTGCCATATAGGAGGACTGATACAATATAACAGTTCAGTGCTGTTTTCTTTGTTTCTAACGATATTTTTCTGTTTCTTAATACTTTACTCAGCTTTTAGAAGGCATCTTTTGCTATCCGTGATATTACAAAATAAAGAATCAGAATAATGGCTGACCTAAATATTAAAAAAAAAATACGGTAAGTATAAGTAAATAATTATGTAATATTGTTAATTCTTGTTTTATGTGCCATATCTTTTCAGAACGTGGGAGTTTATGGCTCTCTACAACTTCCTATCGTTTCTAGTTCTAAATAACGTTTGTATTTTCACTATACGCCCACTCCATCTATTTACACAAGCTAGTTAGGTAGATAAGTGTTTTCCTTTGACCCTCCTGTCATCAAAATCTCCTCCAAGTATTAGATTCTAAAAGCTCTCTTTTACATTTTGTAAAAAGTTCAATTGTCTCTTTCTGATTCTAAGTTTCCGTTTCTTTCATTTTTTGAAGCTTCCTCATTGCTCACATATTCAGTCCATTGTATTCTCAACATCTTTCTAAAAGAACCACAAATCTCCTCTTCATCTGTAGGGAAATTGTCTAGCATTCACTGTAATATAGAAGGAGTGATAATACATAGCAGTTCAGTGCTGTTTTCTCTGTTTTTTAATGAAATTTTCCTGTTTCTTGATACTTTACTTAGCTTTCTTAACACGACAATATCCAAACAAAAACAACTACAGATATTTAAAAAATATCTTTTTTGTTAAAAAGTCATTAAGTGCACATATGTTTCTGGTGTATTGTAGGTATTTGTTATGGTGTAGAACCATAGAAAGATAACACGGATTCGGATATAAGGTTAAATAGTAGATTCTCGGAACCGTAGTACAAAGGTAAATGTGGACTGGAGAGTACTTTCTCTCACTGGTGTCCTGACTCACTCATTTACTCATGGCTACTACTCGGTGAGCCTCACTTGGTGACTCCCTTTACACAGAGTTGGTAGCCATATTATATAGGTGTGGAAGAGTCCATTTGTAGGTAGTGTTGTAGAGTAGTTTTCACAGTGGAGGCTTGTATTTCGCTAAGTCGATCCTAAAAGGGTCCAACGTACAAAACGTTAGGAACTTGAAATAAGAGTTAATGACGCAGCAATCTAGTTGTGATGGGTGATACTTCAATGTCCGACATCGACTGACTCACTCAATTCCACTGAGCTCAACTGGCAACCGCTACTATTACTACTACTTATTATGTGTGGGAGAGTCTATTACAATAGAATAGGTAATGCTCTGGTATAACAGGTAGGTCCCCACAATAGTATTACAGATAATTATTTCTATATATATATATATATATATATATATATATATATATTTCTGCAATAAGGTGAGTATGGTTTAGTTTGCCTTATTTTCTTTTACTGCCTATCGACCTCAATAAGTTATTTAATGTCGACAATTTTCGGATAGGTTCGTATGGATACAATATGTATTCTTTGTAAGAAATCAGTTTGTAAATCAGGTTTCATTTTTGTAAAGAGGGTTTTTTCGAGAGTCAATTGTATTGCCGGTAATATTTTTTTCAAAAAATTGTAAGGCTGGTAATTTTTTTTTCAAAAACCTATTTTTATTTTTTCATAGTATTTTGACCCGAATTTAGGAGTTAACTATTTTCCCATAGCTGGGACCCTAACCAACCCGGGTCAGGGTAGGCCTGCTAACACCAGCGATTAAGAAGTGGTTCCACGCTCCTTAAAACCTCCCAATCAGAGACCTTGCTGCCAGATGTAATTTATTGCCATACGCAGGATGATTATGTAAAAAAGTTCTCAGCCAGCCATAGCTCCTAAAATCAGATTGTAGCAACGAAGAAGAATACAAAGTCTTACCTTGAAAAAAAAATGCGTTTTCTGTGTTGTTTGTTGAAAAAGAAAAAAAACTCCGGTCTTCTTTCCTATGGTAAACTTTGCAGTTGCAATATTACCGAATGGTAATGATCAGATGAGAAATGAGATGAGTGTTTCAATGTCATAAAGTTGTAAGCTCCATCCCTTAAAATTCACAGGATAATTGTTTTAAAAATTTTCTCTCTCAAACAGAACATTACAGTCTAGCAGAATCAGAGGAATTATAATCTTCAGTTGATAGTGTTAACATCAGGACAAAAATTGGGAGAGCGTGTCTACTCTTATTAAAAGTGGGTCTTTTCCTTTAAGTTGCGTCCGTTGATTTTGCGATATGAACCCTGTGGTGTAGTGTTACTGACTCACGGGAAGTAGTATGCACCCAACTGCCTCATGGGTAATATCTGTAGCTATTTATAGTCCTTGTGACATCATATGTAAATGAGCCACCTCATCTCCCTGTACCAAAGAGGTTTTATCCCCCTATTTCTCCTAGTACTTCTTCTGGGGGCTTTTATCTCCTCATTATCTTTCTACTTCTTCCTAAGAGATTATTTAAATATGGAAGATTGTCATCTTTTTCTTTTTTATAGGAGTGTTCTTCCTCTTTCTTGCTTTCGGAAGTAATGAACCTCAATCTTGACAAAACGTCTACATGCCTTTCACGTACTTGATATCAAAGGGAAACGCCATTAACATTAAGGCCTCATCTTAGAATTCTAGAAGACGTTACCATAGGAAGTCCCTCCCTAGGATTAAATATGAATTTTAAAGTTCTATGGTCGGACCTTAGTAGGAATTTGTTTACAACAAAAAAACTGACGAGGTCTATTTGTCGTCCACTGCTGATCTCGAAAAGGACCTCCAATCTGTGGTTGACTGGGGCAGGAAATGGCTTATAAACTTTAATCCCTCCAAAACGAAACTGCTCTCCTTTACCCACCACAGAGAACCCTTCCTGACTCCCATCTGAATGAGTGATTCCCAACTCCCAGAAAGCGCCTCGTTAGGCCCGCTTGGTCTCACGCTGTCCACTGACATGAGATGGAATAGATACATTGAATCAATGGCTTCCTCTACCGCAAGGAAAGTTGGTTCTCTGTGTCGTGCCAGAAAGTTTTTCTCGTCTGAGTCCATGCTTCAAATCTATAAATCAACCATCCTTGCATGGAATACTGCTCTCATATATGGTCTGGTGCTCCCGCTGTATGTCTCGAGGTCCTTGACAAAATCCAGAGATGACTATGCAAGATGATAGGTTCTGATCTGGTATCTAGATTACAATCGTGCTGTGGCCTCCGTCTGTCTCTTCTACAAATATTTTCACGGCAACTGTTCCGATGAGCTACTTTTGCTGGTTCCCGGACTACATAAATCTAAACGTGCTACCAGACTGGCATCTCGGTCCCACCCTTTCAATGTCAAAACGGTTAAATGTAACCGTCTCTTCTTCTCAACTTCTTCTCCCGCACTTCCCGAGGAGAATTTCTGGGTATCAACATCACGTTACTTTCCGCATCTAGTTGCATGTCCAATAGAACATTGATTTGAGTTTCTAATAACACTTCTTTTTTTCTTTTCACTGAAAAAACGTCCATACTTATTTCTTCTTCATTTTGTTGGACCGTCTTTACGTTTTTATTTTTGGATTTACACATACGTTTAAAATGATTAATTTTGAAACACTTTTCAATTTTTTTTAATCGTCGGACATTTTTGTTTTGCTCGTTGATGTTGATGTCCACAAAAAGTACACATTATTCTGTCTATTTTTTTTTTCCTCTACCGGTTCCGTAACTTTTGTTCTATTAAATTTTCGAATTAATTCCTGTTGCTGAACAAATTCAACCCACTGTTCTACTAACAAATTTACCAGCTTTAAATGCATTAGATTCATTTGCCGATACTTCTCATTTTGAAGGCCATTTACCAATTTCATTTCGATCAAATCCTCTTCGGTTGACTGATTTTCCGATTCCAGTTTCTCAAATTCACAATATTTAGGAGTTTGTTTTAAAGGAAAATAGGTTTAATAACTGATTCATTCATTTCTTGAGAAATATTCATGAACTTAGCTTTCGCTACAGTTTTTTCTTGGGTGCTATGTTTTTCGCTATTAGTTGACTTATATCGTCAAACGTCATTTCCTCCAAATGTCTTGGGTGTACAATTGCTGATATTTTTCTAAAAGCCTCACATTTAGCAGTTGCCAAGAAGAGATCAGTTATTTGTTTTTCTCCTCAAACTGATTTTAAATTCTTCAGTTTTTTGTCTTGGCTTTAGCTGCTAGAATCCAAAGCGATGCTTGTGCGTATCCAGTTTATAATTGTTCGTTCGATTGTTTAGATACCGGCGACGCCATTGTAGTGTAATGTTACTAACTGGAAGTAGTATGCACTCAACTGCCTGATGGGTAATAGTTGTAGCTACTTATAGTCTTTGTGGTCTCGTATGTAAATCAGTCACACATAAACCCTGATAGAGATATTTACATTTTTTTTTAATTATAATTGAGTTCACAAGCATTCTCTTGGCTCAGGGCTATGGAAATATTGGTTATTTATATTGAGTCTATAAGTAATTACATCGTTTGGGATCTGGAAATATTGATTGTTTATAATTCAGCCTACAAGCATTTACATGGTTTGGAATATGGAAATATTGGTTGTTTATAATTCAGCCAGGAACACCCGCGTTCGTGTGAAAGGATCTGGAAGCGAGCCCGTTCAAAACGGCCTTCATTTAACGATTTGATAGGAACGATTGAATTAAA